GACGGGAAGAAACCAATATTTGTATCTTAGACAACGCATGCCAGCTTTTAAGACCTCGGATACTACTCACCAAAGTAGGATGCGGAACACTGTCTTTATGAACTATGTTGTGCCAATTAGCGTAGATGTCCCCCAAGTCTATGGTCCTTTGTCTTGTAGCCTAGGAACGTCATCCTGCGAGTGTTTAGTTATGTCTAAGAGGTTTGCCTAACTATAACCCTTGTGTGCTCTATATGAAATATCTATATAGAAATATCCACCACCAAACCTGTATCTGCCAGTAGGTACGTATGTTCCTTTACACCCTTTCATACCTCTTGGTGTATGTATCTACCTATTTATCCTTTTGTAAATTATTGTTTGTTAATACTATTGTTGCAGGATTGTCTAAGCTATAGTAGTTACCATAGCTGGCCTTTATTCTTGAGTTCCTCTTAGTGTCCTCTCTTGCCTTGGTCATGTTGTGCTGACTTCCCTCATATTATGTATTGCCTTTTTCTACACCAATATTAACATATATCTTCTATCTACTTGGTAATTTCCCCTCCTTTCCCCTCCCATCCTTTGTAACCATCAAAGAATGTTTTTTCCTGTTTGTAAACCTTTTGTTGTTACTTTTTGATAGTGGTCTCACACAATATTTGTCCTTTTGTGATTGACTTGCTTCACTCAGCATAATATCCTCCAAATTCATCCATGCTGTGAGATGTTTTGTGGATACCATTCATCTGTTGGAGCCCTGGTGGCACAGTGGTTAAGAGCTTGGCTGCTAACCAGAAGGTTGGCAGTTTGAATCCACCATCGCTCCTCGGAAACCCTATGGGGAAGTTCTACTCTGCGCTATAGGGTCGCTATGAGTCAGAATTGACTCGATGGCAATGGGTATTCATCTGTTGATGGGCACTTAGGCTGTTTCCACCTTTTTGCTATTGTGAATAATGCTGCAATGAACATGGGTGTACATATGTCTATTTGTATCATGGCTCTTATTTCTTTAGGGTAAATACCTAGCAGTAGGATTGCTGGATCATATGGTATTTCTATTTCTAGCTTTTTAAGGAAGTGCCATACCATTTTCCATAGTGATTACACCATTTTACATTCCCACCAACATTGACAAGAGTTCCAATCTCCCCACAACTTCTCTAACATTTGTTATTTTCTGGGTTTTTTTTTATTATTATTATTCTGCCAGTAATGTTGGGGTGAGATGGTATCTCATTGTAGTTTTCAGTTGCATATCTCTAACTGCTAATGATCGCAATCATTTCTTCATATGTTTGTTAGCGGCCTGAATGTCTTCTTTGGTGAAGTGTCTGTTCATTTCCTTTACCCATTTTTAAACTGGATTATTTGTCTTTTTATTGTTGAGGTGCTGAAGTTTTCTATAAATTTTAGAGATTATATCCTTGTGAGATATGTCATAGCCAAATTTTTTTTTCTTTTTTTTTTATATTTTATTGTACTTCAGGTGAAGGCTTACAGAACAAATAGTTTCTCATGAAACAGTAGTACATATGTTGTTTTATGACATTGGTTAACAACCCCACAACATATTAACCCTCTAACTTCTCAACCTTTTTTTTTTTTTTTTGGTGAAAATACACATAGCCAAAGATACATCGTTTCAAAAATTTCTACACGCACAGTTCAGTGACACTGACCACGCCCTTCCAATTGTGCTGTTATTCTCACTTAAGATGAAGGCTTACAGAACAAAATAGTTTCTCATTTAACAGTTACTACAAATGTTGCCCTATGACAATGGTTAACAATCTCACATCAACAATATCCTTACTCAACCTTGGGTTCCCTATCACCAGCTTCCCTGTCCCCTTCTGCCTTCTGGCCCTTGTCACTGGACTCCTGTACCTCGTTAGTCTCATTTGGTTTTACGGGGCTGTCCACTCCCAGACTGAACAGTGAACCTCAGAGGTAGCTTCACCACTGAGCTAAAAGGGTTTCTGGGGGCCGTACTCTCTAGGTTTCTCCAGTCTCCTTTAGGCCAGTAAATCTGGTTTTATAGCCAAATTTTTTTCCCCAGTCAGTAGGTTCTCTTTTGACTCTTTCAGAGAAGTCTTTCGTTGAACATAAGTGTTTAATTTTTAGGAGGTCCCATTTATCTAGTTCATCATCTGCTGTGTGTGCATTTTTAGTTATGTTTGGTATTCTATTTATGCCATATATTAGGGCCCTAGCATTGTCCCTATTTTTTCCTCCATGATCTTTATAGTTTTAGGTTTTATATTTAGGTCTGTGATCCATTTTGAATTAGTTTTTGTGTATGGTGTGAGGTATGGGTCTTGTTTCATTTTTCCACAGATAGACATCCAATTTTGCCAGCACCGTTTGCTGAAGAGATTATCTCTTCCCCATTTAATGGTCTTTGGCCCTTTGTCAAAGATCAGCTATCTATAGGAGGATTAGATAGTTCTTAAAAGAGCACAATGCTCAAGGCAGACATTGTTTAATAGTTATGCTAAACTACTGTTTTGTTTTAAGAAGACTTCAGGGGATATTTTTGGTTTAAGGTTTAAAGATTATCTCAGGGCAACAGTTTCAGGGGTTTATCCAGCCTCCATGGCTCCAGAAAGTGGATTCCATGAAAATTTGAAATTCTGTTCTGCATTTCCCCCCTTTTGATCAGGATTATTCTATAGAATCTTTGATCAAAATGTTCAGTACAGTAATAGTAGCCAGGTACCATCTAGTTCTTCTGGTCTCATGGCAAAGGAGGCAGTTGTTCATGGAGGCAATTAGTCACATATTCCATTTCCTCCTCCTATTTCTGACTCTCTGTTGCAAATAGAGACCAATTACTGTGCCCTGGATGGTAGCTTGCAAGTTTTTGAGACCCCAGGCACTACAGAATGAACTAGGAGGTTGAAGAGAAGCACTGAACATATTATTAGGCCAATTAGCTGGATGTCCCATTAAACCACGGCAAAATGTTACTTGCTGAAACCTGCATGATGAATACTATACATGGAGGTTCATAATACTATTTTCTCAGTTTGTGTATTTTCATAATTAAAACTTTTTTTCATGATTAAAGAAAATCCTTGCTCCACCTTATGATGGACTTTTTCATACGTCAAATTGGCTAGGCTAACAGTTCCCAGTTAGTCAAATAAACACTAATCTTGGTGTTCTGTGAAGGTATTTTGCAGATATGATTAAGGACAATAATCAATTGACTTTAAGTATGGGTGATATCCTAGATAATCTGGGTGGGTCTGATTCAATCGGTTGAAAAGAACTTTTTTAAAAGCAGGGCTACGGCTTCCCTGGAGCCCTGGTGGCAAAGTGGTTAAGAGCTCAGGCTGCTAACCAAAAGGCCGGCAGTTCAAATCCACCAGCTGCTCCTTGGAAACCCTATGGGGCAGTTCTACTGTCCTATAGGGTCGCTATGAGTTGGAATCGACTCACTGACATACAACAGCAACAACAAGGCTTCTCTGAGAGAAGAATCAATTCCACCTGTGGCCAGCAGCTTTAGCCCATGACCAAGATTTCCAGCAGGCCCTTCCTGATGGCCTGTCCTATGGATTTCAGACTGTCTTAGCCAGCTCCCACAATCAACTAAGCCAATTTATTGTAATAAATCTCTTAATATATATCTCCTACTGCTTCTGCTTCTCTGGATGAACCCTGACTGATACAGACCCATTCAAATCTTGCTACTTATGTGAGCCAGACCAGTGATACACAGAGTGTGGTCATGTATACCGACCATGCGCTCAGGTGTTGTGGCAATACCAACTTGCTACAAAAGTTTCTGAACTCTTACTCTTGATTTCTGTATTTTCCTCTCATGGACCCATAACAGGCAGTTCATTCTGTAAAAATGGCATGGAGGTGGCATCTGACCTCGTCTAACTTCACAGAGGGGAAGGAGAATCAAGATCAACAGCCCAAGGCTGATTCTTATGAGGCGGAGGTCAGACATGCCTCCTCTCTCTGCCATCTTTATCAATTCTGACATCAACTGCCCCTCCCACAGCACTCTCTATTTCTCTGCTGGGTTCAATAGTTCATTGCAATGGCCACACAGAACTCACAGACAATACTCAAGATTATGGGGTTTATTTGGGAAGTAACAGGTTACAATTAGGTTCAGAAACAGGATACAGTTCTTCCATCAGGACAGCCTGTTCACAGCCATGCCCGCAGGCACACCTCTGTCTGGTCATCAGCCTCTGCCCTGCTTGGGCAAGTGTTACAAAGCTCTTTTAGCTCTGCTGATAAGTGCCCCCCAGGTACCCCACTCTGGTAGTAAGCCTCGCCCGAAGGCGCTCCGCTCTAGCTGCATGGGTCAGCAAACCTAGCTCCGCCAAGTGCCCGGAGGCGCCCTATTCCACCAGCAAGCCTCCTGCCCAAAGGCACTCAGCTTTCTCACCACATCACCTCCTGTCACTCTCCTGGTTCTGCTGCCTCTGCTGCTGCCATTTTCCTGCCATTGCTTCTTGCCGTCTTGCCACCTTCAGTGTCACAGCTCTCTGTCTCCTGGTCTAGGAGGGTCTCAACACAGGGATCCTAGGTCCAAAGGACGTACTGTGTTCCTGGTTCTTCTTCCTTGGTGGTGGTGAGATCCTCTCTCTGCTCTGGAATTGGCTCTATTTTAAGCCTAGCAGGATGGCAAAACTGACCAATCCCGTTGGTGGGCCACAATTACCTTATTTGCGCAGTCCCACCCAATTACTTGGGTGGGAATTACAAGACCATAGCGAGAAAGGCCACACAAAAGCGATTCATCACACCACAATGAATGGCACTGGTCTATGGACCACACTTGGAGTAACACTGAATTTGACATCTCCGAGCCTGTAAGTACATTTCTAAAAAGGGAGTAATACCTCCTACCTCAGCTATAAGCAAGGTAAAGTGTCTAACACATAGTCGTCACTCAAAAAATGCTGACCTCCTTCCAAAAAATAGAGGAGTCCAGTTCATCAGAATGGGTATGATATTTAAAGAGAAATAAGGAAAGCGTAACTTACCTGGAACTTAATCATACTATCTCCCTCTTGGAAAGGGCAGGATCTTGAAAAAGGAGAACTGTGAAGAAGAAAGAATTCATGAAGTAAGTTGTGAATGGATATTGGTTCCTTGTTACTGGCACACATTCTCCTCCCCCAAGATATCCTTTCCTCACTTCTCACTTTCAACAGACTGATCCTGACCTCCTCAATTTGTCCTTCCCCCTTGCTCCACCCCGCCACCAACCTCAGACCCTTGCTTAACTCCTATCTTTCTCCTCAAGCTTTTGGGTCAAAACCTCCACGTTCTTTTCCTTTTCTCAGACTTGTGAATGCACTGACATCACCTACATCCTAGTTACTCTGGAAAAAAAAAGGTTGCAAAATTGCTGATTTGGAGAGAGATTTTAGGATGGATTCTTGTTGACAGGTGTCTTCTTTTGCTTCTACATTCAAGGAGCCAGCCATCTTCCTGTATGGCTGGGGCCTGCGGTCTAAAGAACTTTCAGTTAGCCAAGACCTTGACTTTTGGCTTCCAAAACGCTCTCTCCAGCACTCATTTTACCGCCTAGAGACTCACTGCTTTTGCAAATATTGACTGCACGTTGTTGTTGTTAGTTGCCGTTAGGTTGATTCCAACTCATGGCGACCCCATACGTGCAGAGCAGAATGGCTCCACAGGGTTTTCAAGGCTATGACCTTTCAGAAGCCGACTGCCAGATCTGTCTTCTGAGGTGCATCTGGGTGGGTTCGAACCACCAATCTTTCGACTAGTAGACAAGCGCTTAACATTTGCACCACTCTGGACCTCCATTGATGGCATGCCTGCTACATATAAAGACACATTCTCTGTGCTGGAGTCACTCACAGTATACTGAGCTATGTACTCTCTAGGACTAGAGATTTCTCTTGTTTTAGATGCTGTCAAGTCAGTTCCTACTCATAGTGACCCTGTGCACAAAAGAACAAAATTACTGCTTAGTCCTGTGCCATCCTCAAAATCGTCGCTATTTTTGAGCTATGTTTGAGCCCACTGTTGCAGCCACTGTGTCAATCTATCTCATTGAGGGTCTTCCTCTTTTTCATTCACCCTCTACTTTACAAAGTATGATGTCCTTCTCCAGGGACTGGTCCTTCCTGATAACATGTCCAAAGTACATGAGACAAAGTCTCGCCATCCTCGCTTCTATGGAGAACACTGGCTGTACTTCTTCCAAGACAGATTTGTTTATTCTTCTGTCAGTCTGTGGTATATTCAATATTCCTTGCCAATACCATCATTTAAAGGCATCAATTCTTCTTCAGTCTTCTTTATTCATTGTCCAGCTTCCACATGCATATGAGGCGATTGAAAATCACGGTCAGGCACACCTTAGTGCTCAAAGTGACATCTTTGCTTTTTAACGCTTTAAAGAGGTCTTTTGCAGCAGATTTGCCCAATGCACTGTATCTTTTGATTTCTTGGCTGCTGCTTCCATGGATGTTGATTGTGGATCCAAGCAAAATGAAATCCTTGACAACTTCAATATTTTCTCTGTTTATCATGATGTTGCTTCTTGGTCCAGTTGTGAGGATTTTTGTTTTCTTTATGTTGAGGTGTAACCCATATTGAAGGCATTAGCAGAAAGAACCCAGCAGTTGAGATCCCTGGTTCTCAAAAAAACCCTCCACATATACATATATTCAACACCCTTCTCTGTCCTGCTTGGAGCAATGGATGCCCTAGACCTCTAGCTTCCACTTGGGTTCAGCCAATGGGGAAAGCCAGAAGGAGACCTAGGGAAGGGACAAGAGTGAGGTCACAGTATTTATTCTCCCAGCTCTTTCCCTGCAGGGTTGCTTTGGGCTGGCTATGTTCCACATCCCTTGACCAAGGGCACAGCTCCTGTCAGGCGGCCCTCACGTCACAGCTCTTTTTCCAGGTTCTGATAACTGCTCCCTCCCTTAGCCCTTCAAGCCTAGGGGTAGCTAAGGACCCCTGGCTTTGTGATATTGCAGTACCCTTTGTTGTTTGCCACACTCTGCCTACACCTTTTTTGATTGCTATAAAAATATATATAACACATTTGCCAATTCAACGTTTTTCACGTGTACAATTTTGTGATATCAATTATATAAATCCTGTTGTGCAACCCTCACCAATAATCATTGCCGAATTTTCCATCACCATAAACAGAAACCCACTGCTTCCTAAACAATGACTCCTCCTTTCCCCCCTCCCTCCCACCCCTGCTAACCACTAATGAAAACTTTGGTCTCTATACCTTTCCCTATTCTAGATATTTCATAAAAGTGAGATCACACAATATCTGCCCTTTTGTGATTGATTGATTCTTCACTCAGCATAATGTGTTCAAAGTTCATTGATGCTGTAGCATGTATCAGGATTTCATTTCTCTTTATGGCTGTGTAATATTCCATTGCATGTAGGTACCACATTTTATTTACCCATTCATCTGTTGACAGACATTTAGGTTGTTTCCACCTTTTAGCGATTGCGGATAGTGCGGCAATAAACATTGGTGTACAGGTGTCTGTTTGCATTGCTGCTTTCAAGTCTCTTGGGTATATGCCTAGAAGTGGAATTCCTGGGTTACACGGTAACCTATACCTTTTTAAATTGTCCCTTTATTAAGCTCTACTTGTTACTCAATTTGAGTGTGCTGTTTACTTCCTGGAAGACCCTGGGTGGTGCAACCAGTTAATGAACTCGGCTGCTAACCGAAAGGTTGGAGGTTCGAGTCCACCCAGAGGCAACTTGGAACAAAGGCCTGGAGATCTGCTTCTGAAAAATCAGCCATTGCAACCCGTATGGAACACAGTTCTACTCTGACACGCATGGGAGTTGCCCTGAGATGGAGCTGACTTGATGGCAACTGGTGGGGGGAAACAAAAAAATCTTTGCCGTCGAGTCAATTCTGACTCATAGCAAGCCTGTAGGACAGAGCAGAACTGCCTCATAGGGTTTCCAAGTAGCAGCTGGTGGGTTCGAACTGCCTACCGTTTGGTTAGCAGCCGAGCTCTTGACCACTGCACCACCTGGGCCCTTCCTGCTGGGACTCTGTCTGATAAAACCCGTAAACACGGTGGTCTCTGGGCTTTGAGGAGAAACTTACTATATAAATATTGCTGCTTTAGGCACTGTGAGGATCCCAAAATTTAAAAAACAAAACCTCAGAACCATGGCTCAGTCTTCTAGGACAGTGCTTCTTAAACTATCTGTGCTGAAGGATTAGTTGATTACTATTATCCTTACTATTATTTTCCATCTGTCATAGACTGATATTTTGATAAAACACAATAAAAAGAAATTACTAGAAAAAAGAAATAAAGACAAATTACAAGCTCAATGTTTTTATTATTAGATTATTCAATCATGATATTATTCAAATTGCTACACAATTTTAAAAATTTTTTCTCTCAATTTCTTAAATTATCTTGTCACAGACCGATAACATATTCTCAGACTGGCATCAGCTCACAAGGTTATAGAACAGGTTAATGAAGTATGAAGTGTCTTTTTGGAAACTACTTAGACTCTTTCCCTTTCTTTCCTGCCTATAACAGACAGCACTGATCACCCGTTTTCCTGGGCTCCAACAGAGAGTTGTTCAACTCATTGTTAGCTGCCGTTGAGTTGGCCTCTGACTCACGGTGACCCCATGCACAACTGAGCAAACAAAACACTGCCGGGTCCTGGGCCATCCCTGTGATCAATGGCAGTTTGGGCCGTTGTGTCCCACAGGGTTTTCACCAGCTGATTTTCAGAAGTAGATCACCAGGCCTTTCTTCCTAATCCATCTTAGTCTGGAAGCTCCACTCAAACCTGTTCAGCATCATAGCAACACGGAAGCCTCCACTGACAGACAGGTGGTAGCTGCGCATAAGGTGTATTGGCCAGGAATCGAACCCAGGTCTCCAGCATGGAAGGCGAGAATTCTACCACTGAATCACCACTGCCCCCCTTCAGTTCATTGGTATAGCAGTTAGCATATAGTTTTACAATGGCTAAAACCTACCAGAAATACCTCTTCCTTCCTCTATCAAAAAACTATAAATCCTAAAGAAATAACTAAGGCTTAGTTTTTTATCCACAATACCTTTCTGCAGGTAAAGATCCTGCCATTTATCAAACACTCAATGTTTCTTGGCATTAATAAACTCATAAATAGAACACCTTTGATGCAAAGATACAAATATAGTAGGCTCTCCTCTTCCAGTACCTGTTCCCGCCTAAGAGCCAACAATGAGGCAGGCTTATTGACATGAACACATAAACACATGGGCATCCACACAATATGTGTGGGGGCTGGTTCCCTGGATGTTCTGCTTTTGGCCTCTCCCTGCCTCTATCAAAGTTAGGGTCCTGGCAGGAAACAGATGGCACATTCAAATTTGAGGGGACTACTTATGATGGGAGCCCTGGTGGCACAGTGGTTAAGCACTGATCTGCTAACCAAAAGGTTGGCGGTTCAAACCTACCAGCCACCCCAGCGGAAAAAGATGTGGCAGTTTGCTTCCATAAAGATTTAGAGCTTTAGAAACCCTTTGGGGCAGTTCTACTCTGTCCTATAGGGTCACTATAAGTCGGTATCGACTTGAGGACAACGGGCAATGAGGTACTAACCTAAAGGTTGGTGGTTCGAACTCACCAGCTGCTCTGCAGGAGAAAGATGTGGCAATCTGCTTCCGTAAAGATTACAGCCTTGGGAGCTCTATGGGGCAGTTCTACTCTGTCCTATAGGGTCACTACTTGATGGCATACAACATAATCACACCTAGAATAATTAGCATCAATTCTCTATTTTTTTTTTTTTATCATATACAGAGTTAGTGTTCAAATTTTCAATTTGTTGACTGCAATTTAACAATTAACAATTTGTTATGTATTTTATAATCCTCAAAGTTTGCACTACCTGGCTCACCGCATGCAGGTGAGGATGGGGTTAATTATCTTCAGAAGTCCTTTTCAAAACGGACCCAAGGGACACAAAACTCCAGATGTATTGCTAGAGAGGGGACATACAGTATGAGCTGTCGCCCTGTTCCCAGGGGCCAGAA